AAAGGAGCTGACGAATGAGAGAGTGGAAGGCGTGTTTGCCTACTAAATACCCACTTGAGCAAGCCTTCCCCGGAGGATCGTCCCGCATTCGAGAGGACCCTCACTGAGTAGGACCAACACTTGCCTCGACCTTCCGCAACGTCAATGAATAGATGCTTCCACCGTGCTAGAATTGTTGGTCTAGTTGGTTTGATCAAGAAAATGGGAAAATCGTGAAGGGCGGTGTTCGATTATCCCCCGATGCGAACACTTCTACTTGTTTTTGCCCCAGCGGCCAAACGATGCATTCCGGGACCAAACATACGGAAATAATGTGACGAGAAACGCGATTCTTCTCGTGCCAGAATTATCTTCAAAGGAGCAAAAAAATGAACCCCCGGCAACCTTTCATAGAGTCAAGTGAACGTGTCCCTCAGTCGACCATTTTTAACCCTCTACCCACCTTGAGCGGAAGCCCAGTTAACATCGCTTGTTTTACATCATTGGGACGACTCGTACTGTGTTGAAGATTTTCCCAACATTCTCCTATAAATACCTTCAGGCCTTTTGGGGAAGGATGTACTGCCTACGGAGTATGTGGTAGGTTCTTCTAAGGAAGGAGCCGGTTCGAGAGGACGGGAGGGGAAGGGGGAGCATGGACGATGCTTTGAGAGGCAGCAACTACCAACAGCAGACACTCGGCCCAAGGGAAAGGCAAGAGAGATCAACATTGAGACATGGAACTCCAGTATTCCAACGGCCGACCTGTCAACGGATCCGAGACAGATAGATGACGGAATCCAAAATGCTGGATTATTCTTGGATGACTTTAAACGCAGAAATATGCTGCTGACTGTTCAACTACACGTGCCATCTGATATCTGGCAGAAACAAGAACGGATTCAAAACGCGAGACCTTGGAAGCTAATGATTTGTCCGCCCTTTAGAATTCAACAAATGGCGTCGACTTAACTCGGTTACTGATACCTCGACCATACGCTTTCGTCTCCAGGGGCACCAAGCATCCCCAGCTTTCAGGTGCTAACTCTGTGGGGAGGAAGTGCTCTTCGAGAAGCCTCTGTCTGCACAGGCTGTCTACATTCTGCCTCGGCTCTCGAGCCTCATCCCAACCTCATCCGCCAATGCCGCAACGTCAATCTGCGCGGGAAGTCTGCCGCCATTCCACTCTGCAACCTGTTCTGCGGCCTGCCAGACGGCCTGAACTGCCGCCGCCGAGATGCCCAAGCCCATGGCACCTTTGAAATGAGTCTTTGTCTGCCTCGTAGCCCCCAGCGCCGCCACTGCACCGGCAATGATGGTCTCGCAGAGCGGGAGGCCCTGCGTCTTCTCAGAGCCCCCGATCACGAACCCAAAGACGACCGCGTGGGTCATGTATGCTGGTTGGAAGTGTGAGTGTGCGGTCACAGTCTGGTTGAGCAGGTATACTCACTCAGCTCAGGGAAAAAACCACCCATCATATTCATGACTTCTGAATTCGCCGCGGTGCGGTAAATGGTCTTCCTAGTCTCCAGCCCCTTTTGATGCCAGTTGGCCTCGGAAAGAAAAGGTCTGAACCGAATCGGCTCTTGTTAGTTTTACCATCGCTTGGCCACATGAAGTGCATTCGGGTCTTACCTGTCCATCTGGTCGGTCATGAAGATGTCACGTTCCCGCATCTCCCCAACCAAGCCCAAGCTGGCTGGGACACACTGAGGCAAGCCGATGAATGGCCAGATCAGGGTGAGGGCAGTTCTGAAGGTTGCGAACAAAGCTTTGACTTCTTCGTCGTCCTTGTCTTTAGTAACATCGCGAAAGAGCTTCGGCAGCGAGTCCCCTCGATGCCGAGCGCAAAGCATAGAGCCCTGGTGATGGTTAGTCTAGGTCGTTGTTCACTGAGGACAGAGCAGTACTTGCGACTATTGCGGGCGCAACTTCGCGAATCTGGCCATTCTCGACTTCTTCGAGCTGTCGCACAATATCTTGAAAGCGAACAGAGTCATAAGGCGTAGCGTCAGGGGTCAGGTTGACGTTCGCGTACTTTACGCCTGCTCCATTGGACTCTGTGACGGTCATGCTGTAGGCGGACCTTTCGATGAAGGTGTATGTGGGAGAGAAACAGCGGTGCAAAACGACGACATAATTGCGTGTGTTTCTTCTAGAAAAGTGACTTTCAACTGAGATATGGACGAGTGTCTTTGTCGGAGCTCCGAGCGGGGAGCTTGACCGGATTTGTATAAAAAAGGGAGCGACTTCGCAATTAACTCCTATTTCCACGGAGACGGGGTTCGGGGAGTTGGGGTTGATGGGACGAATCCGGTTCACTGACTACGTGTGTGCGTTACTTTCTGTTGCAACATCGGCTTGTCACATCTACCCCTCAAAGGCCCCTTCGATGCGGGATTCTCGGAAAGCTGTTTTGTTTCTCATTCAAGATGGCTCAGTCTGAGGAAGAGACTCGCGCGTTCGACTATCATCGATTTGTGCCCCCAAAAGGAAAGTCGGGGCATTCGCGAGATTTGCGAGCAGATCGGACTAACATTGTGTCTCAGATTGGGCTCGGTTCGACGGCATCGACACCAGCGACCCGTACAAGTACTCGGAGGCCATCGTGAAGAACGAGAGATTCAAGGCGATATGGGGCAGCCGTTCTTCAAACCTCGACACTCCATTCAATGGAATCACGACCGATGGTCGGAAACGGGATGGACTGTACAAACTCCAGAATGAGGGAGCACCCACGAAGCAAATGGTTCGTCACCAGTGACGAAAGATTTCATATACTGACCTGTCTTAAGGTGAAAGCAGCTCATGATTTCATACGACTCCTCAGCCCTGGTGAGAAGGAGGCCGCAGTGAGAGACCTGGACTCTGGAGAGTGGTGAGTTGGGCAGGTCTTGATTCAGATCTGGAGAGTCATGCTCAAACTGAAGATGACAGGAGAAAGTGGATCAATCCAGAGATTGTCATATTCAAGTGCGGCCTGCGGCTCGAACACATTGACAAGGTCAAGGTCGACGCCGTCATGGAAATCCTCAAGCAATCTTTGAGTGAAAGCGGCTTCGCCAAAGTTCAGGGAGCTATGAAGACCAACAAGTTTCTTGGGGAGATTTGTGGCAAGGAAGCCATATTGAATGAGCACAGCTACTTGTAAGTGAGTCCATCATCTTTTTCAGAAAAGTCTGACTGACTGTCCGTACCAAGCTTCACAATATTCGGCGAGCCTTCTGAGACGGCGCCATGGGCGTTCATGTTATACGGCCACCACCTCGCTCTCAATGTGTTTATCGCTGGAGAACAGATGGCGATAGGTCCTGTTTTCATTGGCGCCGAGCCAAGCGTCAGTTCTCAGAATGGATTATTGAAGTTGAGTCGGCTGACATGTTCCCAGATCATAGACGAAGGCCCCGACAAGGGCTTGACTCTCTGTGCGAATGAGAGCCAGCTGGGATTGCGCCTTATGCAGTCTCTGTCCCCAGAGATACAGCAGAAAGCCCAAGTGTACTCCAAAATGCATGATCCAGCCATGTCGGAAGATCGATGGCACCCAGCTGATCAGGTAACCATGCTCATTGACGCTGAACATCTGGCCTTCTGCTGACTTGATCGACCAGAGACATTTGGCTGGCGCTTTTCACGACAACAGGATCATTGCATACGAGGGCGTGCTAGTCACTGAAATGACAACGGAGCAGCAAGAGTTGCTCATGTCGATTGTCTCTGAATTCTTGGTACTCCTGCCGCCTGAACCGCTCAAGCACAGGCTGGAGCACATACGAGCATACCTATCGGAGACTTATTTCGCCTGGATCGGTCAATTCGGTCTAGCCGACCCCTTTTACTATCGAATCCAGAGCCCCGTGGCGTTGTTCGAGTTCGATCATCACTCTGGCGTGTTTCTTACTAACGAGGAGCCCGCGAAGTATCACATCCACACGATACAGAGACTCCCCAATGGCAACGATTATGGTCGCGAGTTGAGGGAGCTGTTTAGAAGGCAGGGAAACAACGGAAAGCTGTGATATGTACATAGAGAGGTTTGATTGTAGCAAAGAAAGTCATCATGTACTGAAAGTCCATACGCGCATTTAGGCAACCAGTATCAGATCCCAAAGGATGGCGAATAGAGGGAAACATACTTAGCAACGTCATCACGACGAAGTGACATCTCGTAATATTTCCACATCCTTCATGTCGACTAATTTAGCTTCTGGGCAGGGAAAATGGATGAACCCCAGCTGAAGGCTGTCAAATCCTCGATGATCTAAGTGGTGGTACCCCGACAGAACAGAATCGCCTGTTCGTGGACATAATCCCAGCAGTTAAGGGAGATTCCAGTTGGTCAAACCTAGGAGGCTACAAGCAAGCGATAGATATCACCCACGTCGTATTCATTCTTTCGAACTTCGCGAATTGTCCTGTTGTAGTGAGAAAACGCGGTTGACTGCAACTCAGCCTTCCATTCCTCCTTGCAGCCACTGAGTCTCTGGCACCTCCGACAGAATCAATTCGTTCAGCATTACTTCCTGTCTACCACATGTTCGGACACTAGCCAACCAAAAACATCACCTCGCTTTGAAGCTGAATTTACACACACCCAGCCGTCTGGGCCGTGTTTGGTCATCGGCATGCCATGGCGTTCTGCAAGGGATGGAGCTCCAGAGCGGCGGTTTGGGTGGCTGGCGCAGGGGTGAACTTGAGCGTAAACTCCCCAGAATCTGTCTCGGAAATGTCGATATATGGGGTGATCTTACATCCAGATCTCTACAAAACACCACACCGGGATCTTCGGTTCCATGTCGCCATGTTCGACCCCAGCTAGTGGGTGGAAATTAGCTCGACAAGCGTTAACGATGTTTAGTCAACTGCTGAGCGTCTCGAAATAGTATCGCGATGAGTCTCGCATGTAGTTGAATGAAGCTGGAAATAAGGTATAAATAGTCTGGTCATCGATCGCGTTACAACAAGTCTCCTCATCATCCAACATCTTCAGACTCTACCACTACCATTCTTCTCATCTCAAGATGAAGCACAACATTCTTCTCCAGATCGCCCTGGCGCTCCTCTCATTGACAGCGGCATCGATCTGTAACAACAACTGCGGCCGCCAAGTCGTTGGTACTGCACGAAAGGACCCGTCTTTGTCCTCAAGATCGTCGCTCTGTGCGGCTTTCGTCACCACCACTGTGACAGAGTCCGTGACACCCAGCCTAAGCTTCACGAGCACTTGCTTACTCTGTATAATAGGGCTGGCGCCGCGCCTTCTGTCGCCAAGAGAAATGTCCATGGTCCCCGCCAGGCTTCCGCTCCTGTAATCACAGGGACGAAGCCTGCTTACGCCTCGTCGTGCCCCGACGTCACCGCGTACTGGTCCGCTTGCCAGTGCTTCGAAGGCGTCAAGGCAAACACGATCACAGTCGTGAGGCCTGGACCTTCGTCGACCTCGTCTGCGTCTCCCAGCTCGACCATCTCGGACAGCCCGGTTTCCTCTACTCCTGAGCCGCCGAGCCCGACTTTCAGCTCGACCACGACCACCTCTTCCAGCGCCAGCACACCCACGTGTACCCCGGGCCTCGAGTATGCTCTTTACTCCATTGACTTTAATTCGGATCTGTGCCAGAACTACATCAGAGTCCGGAGCAACAGACCGCGCAATTTTGACCTCAACCGCCTCGTAGGGGCTTTTCCCGCCTGGGAGGAGGAGACGGTCGCTGGCGGCTGAATGGTTCCCGAACTGGTGAACATGCAGTGGCTTGGTTAGAAAATTCTGTCGGGAACGTTTTCTTCTGTCCGTGGTTATGAGTTGTACTTCTGTTTACCAATGATACCTAGCAAAAGAGCTCCTCATTGAATGGAATTGTTCCGCCTAAATCGTTCAAAGACCTGGACGAAGGCGTGGCTGACTGACCTAATCAGCCCCAACTCGAACAGCTGTTTAGCCATGAACAGTCGTAGCTGTGCCCTTCACGGCCATTCCTCCTTCAGCATCCTGAATCCAAACATCCCACTTCTTCTCTTCACCGTCCTCCTTCCTCCTCAAACAAACTGTCATCTCCCGGCCGCAATAGAGTGGTGCCAGGTTTCGATACCCATACCATCTTACCCGCTGGCCTTTCTGGTTAAAAAAGGCAAGCACGAGAGCCAGGGTCAGCGGTCCATGGACCAGTGTCGCCGGATGGCCCTCCTGCCTAGCCCACGCCGGATCAAGATGGATCGCGTGAGCGTTATACGTCAACGCGCTAAAGTTTGTCAGGAGGTTCTGCGAAGGCGTGATGGTGAGAGAATATGTCGGCTGATGCGGCGCTGTCTCTGGTTAACATCCCACTCACTTCCATCACTGACGCCCAAACGTACGTTTCAAACTTCTCCTGGGAGAGGACGTCATATCTACATCGGGCAAAAAGGCAAGAGTCCTTCTTTCCTCAATCGCAGGGCCCTTGCCCGCCGCAGTAGCAGCGCCGTACCGCCGCCACAGCTCAACCCACACCCGGCCCTTCTCAGGCCGGACGTCCTCCACGCTCTCGACACAGGCGACGCGTCTGCCATCCAGACGCAGCTCGTCCTCCCAGCTTTCGCGAAACCTGACCTCGCCCCCTGCCCAAAGACGGCGGGTGAAGGGCGCGCCGGGGCAGTGGTCTGGGTCTGTGCCGTCTGGCATCAGCCCCGAGGGCGGGGACTGAAGTGGGAAATAAGCGAGGTGGTGGCCCTGCGGGAGGAAGGACGCGGAATTCGCATCAGGAGGGTACTCCCGGGGAGATGTTTTTGAGGACGCAGCGAATATGTCAGAGAACAGGAGGTTTAGCAAATGTGAAGAGGTCGGGGAGAGGTGGTCTGGTACGTCTTTGCTCTTGTGCAGGATTTGAGGGATGCCTGCTTCCAATGAAGGGGTGGCATGATGTGTTGAGATGTTTCGATTGAAGGCATGAAGCCGGTGGATGAGCGGCCTCATGTTGGCTGTTGATGAGACTTACACGAGGTAGATGAAGGAAGCCAGGAAATTGACGTGGTTATGCAAGTATTCAGCGTATATGTGATAATTGCATTTCTGACAGTGCCCTCATGACAGAGCTGCTGAAGATGGCTCAAGTATGGTTCAATGTACAGCGAGGCTCGCAAAATAGAAACCAATAGGAACCATTCAGACCGGGCATGATCACCGTGCCCATTTACAAGACGATTCGTCATTCAAGGTTCGGTTGGAGTAGTTCGCCCTACATGGAAACAAGCAACCGCTTCCTATATTTCACTGTTCAAATTTAAGGCACAATGTTCAAGGAGTGACTACGCAATATATTGACTTCATTCTATCTAGTCGCAAACGAGCGGCCGCCTCCCGACCGCTTTGAATTGTCCTCTACCTACTAGGGGAGTATCTGCGAGTTGTCAGTCACACCCCCCACCTACGTATCATTCATCAACGTACCTGTAGACTAGTTCTCAACTCAAGAGGCCTTCATAACAGACCGAAGCGGGCTCGGGCGCGCCACTTGGTACGTGAGGGTAGCCGGGCTCGTCGGGCTTCTTTCCGCGAAGAGCCGATGAGCGGCCACGGGCGCGCGGGCCGGCGCGTTGGCGGGCTGCGGCGCCGCGCGCGCGGACTCCTCTTCGCTGTTATGCGTTAGAGACGATGCTTGAGTCGATCCCTCAATCTCGAGGGATTCGGAAGGTCAATCTGTAAAACGTCAGCCACTGTTGTGCGAGGTATCATCTCGAGGAGCATACCGTCGTAGTATTCATCATCGTCGTCGATATCAGCCAACTGCTCAAAGTTCACCTTGTATCGGAGGATACCACCGATACCACCGAATCCCTTGACGAACTGGTTTCCTTCTGTGGAACGGTCCGAGACGAACTCGAGGTTGGTACCGAAATCCTTGTAGTGCTCCGCAATCCACTCAAGGAAAGACTCCTGGGAGACAACTTCCATCTCCTGGCCGGTCTCCTTGTCCAAGAAGGCATCACGGCCGGAGGCCTCCTGCTGCTTGGTGGTGTGCAGGAGGTGCTCGGCGTTTTGGCTGTCCTTGAGCTTCCAGCGGGTGATCTCCAGGTTCTCGAAAACAATCAGGGTCTCGACGGCGCCGAGCTCCAGAGCTTTCAGGGTATCTTCAATGCCGTAGCAGACGCGGCCAGTGTCCTGGCTGATCTCCTCAAAGTACTTTCCAATAAGCTTCTTCTCCTGGATGAACTTGACGTTACCGAGGGTCTCGGAGGACAGCTCGATAGCCTGGTTGAAGCCGTTCTCACCGCCGTAGGAGACGTCAACAACCTTGATAACCTTGGAAGCCAGACGGCCGTCGAACATGTCGGAGGCGTTGAGATCGTTCTTGAAATCGGCAGAACCAGCCAGAATCAGACCGGCGACGTTGACCTTGTCGTTGGTGATGAAGTTCTGGACGGCCAACTCGGCAACCTTGCGGACATAGTTGTGGCGCTTTTCCTCACGGAGACGGGCGAAACGCAGGGCGGACTGACCACCACGGCCGTGCTTCTTGGGGAGATCGACCGAGAACTTGTGGACAATGTCTCTGGTGTTTCCGGAAAGAGTACCGAATAGGGCTCCGTTACCGTCCATGATGATGAAACCGAATCTCTGGTCAGACTCGAGCAGCTCGGCCAAGGCCTCGGTGTGGAACTTGTTGTCACACAGGTAGAGGGAGGTGTTGATGGGCTTGAAGGGCTCGAAATCGATGTTGACCTTCCTTTCCTTGCCTTCCGAGGTCAAGATTTCTCCGCAGTAAACGACCAGGCCGTTGGGGGGGACCTTGTTGTACAGCTTGAGACGCTGCTGGGTGGAGGTAATGGCCGAAAGGACGGACTGTCTGTTGACTCTGGACTTGATGTTTGAGGCAGTACCCTGGGCGCGATAGTGTCAGCAGTCGTCCGCACTCGGCATGAGAGGGACCAGACTTACGTATTCTTCAGCCAACATCTTGGCGGCACGCGAGATCTGATCCTTGGGAGCTGTGGTGGGGTCAGTCAAATGGGGTCGCGGCGGCGGCATCACGGCGGAAGGACGTACGGATGATGAGGGAGATCATGGATGTGCCGTTACCACGAGCGGCCTCGAGGCGCTTGATGAGCTTCTTCACCTTCCATATCTCGATCTGTATGGCAACAAACGCATCAGTCAGCCTGGCCTGCACACTGCACACAGTCTTGGAACGCGGGGCAAAAGGAGGGGCTCCGTTAAATTGTGCAAAATGACTACTCACGTTCTTCTCGGCCTCGTCCTTCTGAGCGTCCGCCATCTTGAGGTCGGGGAAATTAACGAACTCGAAAACAAAATGAAGGGTACGCGGTCGCGTGACGGTGAGGGGTTTGTCGTCGTCGTCGCGCGGTTCTCCCGATGCGTGCGATGCGATGCGGTGTTGCGAGGAAAGAAAACTTGATGCTCCACGTATGTAGGTCGATTTTTTGTGCTGTCACCGCACAAGGATTGGGCCTGACTGGGGACACACCCAATCCCGTCCTAGGGCGCTAAACCGCAAGCGAGTCATAGTGGTGCTGGGTGCCTAGCCATTCAGCCACTAGGGACGTCCAGTTACAGCGCACCAGCTGGGCTGCTGCACCCTTCCAGGTTCTCCCGCAGCCCGCACGTGCCGTCGTCATTGCTGGAGCCGCCCCCATGGTTCACTCAAACAAACCGAAGTTTGGTCAGGCAAGGTAAGGTAGGTACGCAAGGTAAAATCTTCGGATTTGCCCAGCTGAGTTTCGCATTTCATCGGATGTCGCGAGAAATGAGTCAACGGGCACAGCTGTCCCCATGGATGGAGTCAGCAAGCACCATAGAGGCACAGGCGCAGACTGTAGAGGTTTGAGACAAAGCCATGTGTGCACCTGTTACTCCCTTCGTACCTGTAGTTGCCCATCCAGCCCCACTCGATCTCTGCCGCTACCTTAAGTGTAAGGTTGGGCAAATTGGTGCCCCGAACTAGGAAAAGGCCATGACCTCAGCTGGCGAAGAGCCCATGCATCTAAACGGGCACCGCTCATCACCCTGATGCATTCACGCTAGCCATGCAACTAACGGGCCAACTTTATCGCGACCTCCCTACAGTTCCGTCACCACCTTAGAGTAGCTACCCCGAGCTCGCAGTCGGGCCATCGCCATCTTCAACACCGCCCCAGACAAACGCCGCACAGCCCACAATGGCCGCCAACGTGCCCATTCAGATCGCCGAGACGATACAGACAGCGCACATTAACCGTGCCCCGTCCCCAGATCACGATCTCAACCCCACCACAGCCGCTTCGGAGAAGGAGCCGGTGACATTAGAACCCGTCTCGTCGCATGATGACCTCGACGATGACGAGCTTGACGACGACATCCCCTACAGTGTGCTGAACCCCAAGCCGCGGTCAGCAAAGCTTCCGCCCATGCCCGACCTCCGATTCGAGCAGAGCTACCTGCACAGCATCTCCAAGGCGGACACCTGGGGAAGGGTAGCGTGGATTACAGTGAGAGACCAGGTCGGTGGCTTGCAAATGTCTGCGAGTCGGCTCCAGGACTGACATAGCACAGGTCATGATGCCTTTGGCGCAAGGGGTCATCTACAACTTGTTCTTGATCGGCTGGCACCATTGGAACAAGAACGCTCAGGTCCACGGCGGCTCCATCGGCGCGAGGGTACGCAGGTGGTGGTACGGCGTGAACAACTGGAAGCTACCGCCCCCAAAACGAGACACATGGAGGCTGAGGAAGGAGCTGTAAATAGGCACGGG